TTTAAAAAGACGTCCTATTTTCTGATGGCAGCTGACACCCTTAATGACCACCATGTGAGAAATGTGTCCATACCAAGCATTTTGATTACAAAATATCATACACATTGAAAAGAAATTTTTGGAACTAAATCTCTGATCTTGAAAATGCTTCCTGTCTCTGGAACAGATCAGGCCTTGAATCAKCATATTTCTGAGCTTTCATGATATCCACACAGCTTCTTGTCTTGTTGCTTTAACATTCCTACCCCATAGATTTAGCTATGTTAGATCCTTAACTGGGTTGAGAAGGCTAAAACGCAGGGAAAACTCAAGTGGATCCTGGCAGCCCCACTTCCTATTTATTAATTGTACTAGACCAGATCAATTGAGGTGCTGACCACCCCTGGCAGCTCCTTTACTGTTTAGAACCTGACTCTACTAATTTTTCCTGAACAGTTTCCTTTTTGTGGGATGGAATTGGAAACACATAGGTGACGGAAAATGTATAAACTTGTGGAACAGTCAGGGAAAGTACACTTTCAGTTCCACAACAGAAGGGGAGAAGGGAGGGAGGAAGGGAGGGAGGGAGGAAGGGGAGAGGGAGAGAGTGAGGAAGAAAGGAGAGAGGGAGGGAGGAATGGAAGGCAGGAAGGCAGGAAGGCAGGAAGGAAGGAAGGGACACTAAAGGTTACCCATGGCAAATATGGTGGTCCATTTCTTCTGTGTAAAGTATCTACAGCCCCCTAGGAAAAGTACAAATTTTATGAGCTCAGTCAGGAAGAGCCTTTGAGAGATCTTTAAGMGCAGTATCCATGTGCTATTATGATTTTTAATGGATACCTTCCACATTTTGTCAAATYGAGTCGAGACTCTGTGACAGAGTGCATACACCTTGTGTGCACAACTACACGTCACCACAGAGTCGCCTACAAWTTAAAAGGCAAGGTTAAAATATCAGGTATAAAAAAAGGTACCTGGTTGAGATACGGCTCAGAAAAATTGACGAAATATTTTAAGATGTGCAGAAATATTTATGTGTTAAATTAGCTTTTTACTAATACCAGCTAATTAGTCCTCACAGGAGCACACTTATGGGCAAGATCATATGAGTATTAGTGATATTTTAACAGACTGAAACATAAACGGGTAAGTGATGTGTGATACTAAAAAGTGAGAAGGGACTACCAGGGGTGTYAAATTCATGGTTTCCATTCTTATGCTTTGACTGTGCTGTTTTCCTTCCAAATTTTCATACAGTTTTTCAAAAGATACCTTGTGATTAACCATTATCATATGCTTTCCTGACACACAATACCYCCAACCCTCCCAATGAAAAAAAAAATCCTAAACAACCTCTGGACAAGTAGTTCTGTTTCTAAAGGAGGTTAAGTACAGTTATTTTCTAATTGCAGACAAAGCTTTTCAATATTTACAGAAAAATACAACTACCTTGAATAAACAAAACAGTGAAACAATATGGAAAGAGTGACCACAATAACTACAGGGAAAAAAAAAAAAAACAGAAGGAAAAAACACCATGGAGAAGGAAAAGTATCTTCCTAAAAGTTGGTCTAGTTCTTGCAAAATGGTTTAGACTGACAGGTTTGGAAACCAAAGGGATAGCAACAGGTTTGTGATAACATAAGCAACTGCACAATACTTCTCATGTCATCACACCATTACAGGCCATATTCTGTGCTGAAGAGATGAGATGTTTGGTCATTATTCTTACTGCATTCTGGGTCACTGCTGAGATAACCCAGAAATGCTACTTTCAGTAAAACCAAGCTGCTACAACCCAGACCTTTCATTAATTTTTCAGGTAACGTCAGATGATACAAATTCCACCACAGGAACAGTTCTGATAAATATGGGTTCTCATAGAGATGTATGGTGAGTGGAAAGGAGGGAAATGCCTTTCAGTTCAATGTAAGTGTAAGTGCCCTTCTGAAAAAAAGACTGTTCTGACATTAGTATCACTAGCACTGAAGAAACAACTTGATTTGCCTAAAAATAACAGTGAGCAATATTCTGTCCACAAGTCAGAGACAGTATCTCCTACATGGCTTAARCCAAATCTGAATGAAGCTAAGAGTAGGGCTTGTGAGCTTCTAACATTTTTTGGAGGTTTGTCCCTTTGTCCTTACTTTTTAGAATGTGCTGTTCAATTTTGTTTAACAAACAGATTTTTTTTTCTTCTGCTGAATTTATCGACAGATGATGGTTAAATTTCCAAACAATTTCACCAAACCCATTTGACCTCTAACAGAAACAGAGTGAAATGGAAATGCTGRACAGTGATTCATTCAGTAAGGAATTATTTATATACCTCAAATGTGTTTTTCATTAAAAATTATATTTATTTACACCGTGCATACTACAAAAGAGTGGGGGTTTTTTTTCTGTATTCAATTCAATTTTTGTTCTTTTATTCTTTAAACTTTCCATATTACTTGTTCCTATTAGCCTGGGAGGAGAGATGGGAGAGCAGAACAGGTAACACCATAAAGGTTCATGTGTTTTGGAAGAATGCACCCTTACTGTTCTAATTTCCCTTTCTCACAAACACACTGAGCTTGCACAACACAAAACAAAGCAAAGCAGATCTCTCCACTCAATTTAACAAAACAAAGTAGTTGAGACTTTGAAGAAAATAAAAAAGATGAAAGAAAAATGTCAGTGAAACAGCTTCGTTTTTTGCTATAAAGTTTCTTTTGTTAAACCAGAAGGTAAATTTTCCTTATCCTTTCTGAGGAATCCACAAATGTTTTCAGGGTTTCACGAGTGTGCAGAATAAAAAAAAAAAAATATCAGAGGCTTATGACTCATAGTAACATAGTGAGAATTCATTTAGAAATATTTTTCTTTTATTTTCTACAACTGGAAATACTGATTTATTAGATATTGATTCCTACTTTTGGAAACAAAAATACTGAAATGCATAAAAAGTACTAAAAARGAGGAAATCTATATTAAGAGTTTCCTCTAGAAAATGTAACAGGAGTTAAGTATTCAAGTGGACATAAAAAGTAAGAATAATCAAAATGCACAGCAAAACAATACAGCAAGCTGAAACAATGGAGCATTTCTGACTCTTGGCTAAGAAGGATAATGTTCTGGGTCAGTAAATACAGAAAAGGAACACATTCTCACTGAAGGAGTATTTTATTGTATGCTGAATATCCCTTGGGGGGTTGTTTGTTTGTTTGTTTTTGCTTTTGTTATTGTTATTGGTTTTGTAAAGAAAAGTCTACAACACACATCCTAATGGCTTTGGCTGTAGATTGAACTTAAGTAAATACCATCCCTCAGCCAGTATGTTGTGGTAACTAAGGCTGCCAGTGTGGTTTACCAGCTCCAGCAACATGTGTAAACACTGGAAACAAAAAAATTCAGAGGGCAGCCTCCTTTCTCTCTGCTTTTCTCAACTGCTTGCTCCTTTTCTGTCTCCCGTTTGTGCTCGCTCTCTTGCTCACTATCYTTCTTGGACTTTTGTTATTTTCTGACAAATCATGCGAGTGAAACACAAAACATTAACACAATTAGACATCCTTTTTTTTTTTTTTTCTGGCTTCTAATTTTGTCCAAAGGGAAAGTTACCCAATAAAAAGTCCAGCATATGTTTTCAGAGCTACTAAGTGCTTCTGCCATTAATTTYTTTTGATTGCTTCTATAAAACATGCCTTAATCATACTACAGCACTTTCCATTGCAAAAAAGACAACTTTACAGAACAACATAGTTAACATTATTTCCCTGTTCCTTTTGATTTTTTTTTAACACCACAAAAATCCAGGCTATAATAAGAAGCACACAAAATTATATTCATCTTTGTTCTGTGACAAGTAGTATCAGCATTTATATCCCCAAATATTATGCATGTTTGACAAAAAAAAAAGTTTCTACTGATTCACATGACACTATTCTGTTTTCTTTTTCTTTTATGCAATGTAGTATATAAGGAATAAGGATGCACTATTGTTTCTAGTAATAATTGGCACTTGAAAAAAGCACCAAGAATTCTGTATTTCACTTTACCCCTTTCCCTCCCCAGTATTTTTTTTGTGTGTAGTCCAAAAACTACAACTGTGGTTATGGTGAGTAACTACATTTTCTTTTTTTCAAAATGTGTGCAAAGTTGGCACTTTTGTATTAACACTAAACACTAATACTCTTTGTTTGGCATTCATGCCCTCATACTGACCAGATCACTTTTATCTAAGTGTAATTTTTTTAAAGACACTTACTGAAAATATGGCAATAGTTTAAGAAAAAAAAAAGCATGGATATTATTACACATCCCCTTGTAGTGTACGAAAAAGTGCATGACTGGATTTATGTAATAGTACAAGACAAAAAAACGGTATCAAATCAGGTACTGTAAAGCATGCCAGCACCTCTGTATTACTTATATCTAGCAGGTAGTTAAAACAAGACCGTGGTTCTTTTARAAATGTGCATTAAAGCTAACATAAATGAGTAAAACTAGCCAGCAAACTATTTTTCCTGCTTATCTAACAGCTGAATGTAACTGTAAAAATTAAGCAAAAAAAAAATTAGAGTTAAACCACCATCAATACAATTGTTTTACATCATAGGCCTATCAAGGCTCAATATATATATACAAGTGTAACAGCCATGCTTAGTAGAACGTTATCCCCAATGCTTAGAAGACACAAAGACAACTAAGTAGATTGTTTTTTCTTTCTCATTTTGTTTGTTTGCAATTTTTTTGTGTTTTTTTTGTTTTTGGGGTGGGGGTTGTGTG